ATTTTGGAAAGCTTACCTTAAGATCCAATAAAGCATGCATAAGCACATAAAAAGTGGAAAATATTTGAGAAATATCAAGGGCACATTAATATTTGCTAGGTGAGGGAAGTCAGATGATTGGAAATATAATATCAAAGTCATGTGTCAAGATTTCTCTCTAATTGCCAACCAGACACACTTGTGAATTCATCCATATCCTCATCCATTTTTCCTTCATTTCCTCCATGCTCAGCAAAACAGACATTCTCCTTAAGCTCAAGGTAAATGTTGCTTACAAATGTCCTAAACTCTGAGCACTGTCTCTACCCGCTAATTCAACTTTGTAATGTTTCCCGTTTAATAGTTGATTCCAGCAGGCTGCGGTAACAGGTGTTGGACCTTTAGTGCCTGCACTCTTTCATTAATTTCCATGTACCTTTATTCTTCAAATCATTACAGTCTGAATTTTAACCAGGCAACACAAACGATACCGTTTACCCTATTGTGTGTCTCTTGAACCCTTGTAATCGCTGACTTCGGCAGCTATATTTAGGTCCATGTCTTATCGATCACTTCTGCTTCCATTTGCTACACTAGGAGCTTACAGCCCACACTTGAAGTCTTCACATTTCCCTGATGGCTCTCGCCTCTGTATACACATGTAACATGAAGGCTTTGCTTCAAATACCACTTGATTATACACAGTCCTCTTCATTTCTTTGTCTTTTGGCCCAGGCCCAATTCTCTCTTCCTTGAACTCATTTCCTCTCCTTGACTCCACCCTTCTGCAAAGTCCCTTGCTCTCTAGTTTCCCTGACCTTCAATGTCTGATCATCTTTGTCTCAGAGAAGAAAGTCCATCTTCCTCCATGACCTGGCCCTGCCTGCTTTCCACCTAAGCCTTAAGCCAACTAACACCACCATCACTTCCTCCCCAAATATTCCATTTCAGTAACAGTTAAGCTGTTAGATCTCTTTTTATATCCTACACCCTTCGCATTGGCAAATGCTGTTCTGTCTGCAGTATGTATCCCCTCTGTCTATTCTACTAAATAACTCTTTTCATCAATAGATTTATCCCAAATGGCAAATAAGTCTGTTCTTGAGCCATAGCAGGCGCCCCTTCTTATTATAAAATAGCCTGTGGAAAATCTATACAAATTGCACCGATTATAGGCTATATTATTCAGCTACCCTAAAAACAATAAGGGACTTTAGTAAAATTGATTAAGTTACTAAGCTAAAACTGTAAGTGCCTTGAGGGAAACGATGCTGTATTGGCCTGTTAGTGTTCGGAGCATAACACAGTGTGAAAAACATAGCCAAGATTTCGCATGCACCTGTTGAGTGAATATGCAAATGCATTATAAATTAATATTGAAAGTACAGTCAAAAAGCTTCAGGTGAATTTTCCCATTTTTTGATGAAATGATAAAAACAATTCATAAGAATTGGTGAAAAGTAAGGTTTTAAGATGTCTAAGTCACGCTCAGGGTAGTGATTTCAGAAGCACCCCTATGTCAGAGAGTGTGTTTATTGCTTAAGTAGAAAAAAGCAACTGTCATTGCATTTGTCTGCTTTTCTGTGAAAATAAACGACTAAAATTTCAGGGTTTCAAAAAACGTGCTTTCTTTTTATTTATGTTATGTGTCTGTGCCTGCACATCAACTGTGCTCTTGTCCATGTGTCGTCAGCATGGTGGCCAAGGTAAAGGAGGAGTTCCTATTTGGATCATGTTAGTTTCATGATGGAAGGAAAGAGCAAGGCCAGAAGCACGTGATTCTTCCTGAGGCTTGATTTCCGCCATAGTGTATATTATGTCGGCTTATACGCTGTTGGCAGGAGCAAGTCACATCATCCACTGGTTAGGGATGCGTATTCCTCCCACGGGAAGCACCGCACTTCCATGGCTATGGGCAGTGACGTATAACCTCTTCAAGGGAAGCAATATAGATATTAGTGAAAAACTATACCTCGGCATTGAGAAATATAGTGAGAAAGTGATAGAGAGTGTTAAAAATAAAAACTAAACATTTAGTATCGCTGGTGCTACAGAGGAAACTAGCGAGGATATCTTTCAACTAATTGTTGAAAAATAGAGTCTACATTAGAAAAAAAAATGTGAGGGAGAAGTTTGCACAAAATCCTGGCTTCTTCCAGAGTCGGGATTTGGCAAGGAAGAGGAAAATGTGAAGGAACAGTGAACTGGAGCACTGGTCAGGACCTCAGTAGACTTGAGGGAGAAGAAGATGAACAAAAGAAGTCTGGAAGCAAGTCCAAATTAGTTAGGAAAAAAATCAGTGGCAATTAAGAAAGAGGAGTTATAAGTTGGGAAGGAGTGCACAGAATGGGTCAAATTGTGTGACTGAAGAAAAAAATAAGAACATGGATACAGGCATTGCTTTTGTTTTATTATTATTTTTGCAGCCTCACACTTTTCATTGAAACATCTTCAAAAGGTTTTAGAAGAAAGAAATAATAAGGAGACCCGTTTAAAGAGAGCTCAAGGCTTGATTAAGAGCTCACTCAAGAGTGCGAGCTCTGAGCAACAGGGTCGTCGGTTTGATTCCTGGCCCGAGCTGAGCTGCCGCTGAGCTGCCAACAGGTAGCAGGATGGCTCAGCTTAAAAAAATAATAAAAAATAAATAAAAAGTAAATAAATAAAGAGAGCTCAAGGCTTAAAAGGAGCCAGTTCCCAGGACAAGAGTCAACAAGGCTGGAGCAGAATGATTTTCTGGCTGAAGCAGCAGCAACATGGGAGCAAAAGCACAGATGTCTGGCGGCATTAGTCAATGCATTGCCTTGACAGCATCCAACTGCCTCATCCAGAAGGAAAATAAATCGATGGTTGATTTTGTGAACACTGTGATTTTCAAGAAAAGAGGTTCCAAGAATTCGAAGACATGAGAGTTTGTGATTATAAAGGGAAAAGTGACTAATTAGAACGGGAGCTATCGTGCTGTTCAAGCAAAGGAGGTCAGATCAGGATCTATAGTTGGTTCTGTGAGAGGCAAGTGGGATGTGGAAGGAAGATAATGTGCTTTGGGAGGGTCAGGGTGTCTGAGACAGCATGGGACATAATCTGCATGGCTGATTTGAGTGGCACAGGAGAGCACATTCCGATGTCAAACTCCTGGGGACCCTGAAATCATAAATATAAACCTATAGAACTAAATGTTTCAGTGTGCGTCCAGACCGTGACAGGCTTGACAATTCAAACTTTGTTCATTGAAAGCACTCATGCCGGATGAATCCTCCCTTCCAAATAAATGTAACCAGAAATACACAAGCACAGCTAAGTTAATATGGAGACAGATTCAAACATGTTATGAACATATTAACATAGAAATCATAGCAGCAGAACAGACATCAATGGCTAACATGCTAAGTCTGCAAGATGACATTTCCTTTTTAATAGCAGACTCAAGTTGTTTTAGTACAATGCTTTTACATATGCATACATATAAAACATACTAATAGGAAATATTTATGTATCTTAAACTTTATAAAAAACTTTACATCTATTAACTAATACTATAATCCATGTTTTTATAAGAGAATACTGAACACAAGGCTTTGCCCATTACAATATACACTTAGATACGCCACCTTAAGTTCTTCTGAACACAAAACATGGTAGACAATAATCATTAACAACAACAATTAAGGCGATAATTGACAGTAAATAGCTACTGTAAGTGAGCATAGCTTATTATATATAATAAAAAGAGAAAGAGTTTAGCAATACTTATAGACACAGATACAGATACGCACCTCCATATTTAAACCTGTCCTTCATGCCCTGAAATCTTGTTATGTTGAAGGTCAAAACCATTACTGACTGTAGCACTCTTAACAGATGCCGAGTCTTACATGCCTCTGCACCCCTAAAAAAGGCTTGTGAGATCTAGATCTCCTCTGAAGACCTGGCACCTTGGTCCCCCACGCGCATGTCCGTTTCTGCCAGCCTGCCTAGTTTCCGTGCCCATCCCATCTGGTCTGTTCCATTATATTACTCACAAATCCCATAAACTACAGACTCAGAGAAGAAGAGAAAAAAATATCAGGGATTTAATATCTTCTTCCACTGTTAGCATGATGAGGTCAACATACCTTTGTTCCAGGAACGGAAAGACCAAGTAAATAACTCTTTTTAGATCTATATGATACTTCTAGTGCTCTCCAGACTCTTCAAGAAACTGGAGAGATAACTCATGGGCGCACAGGGGTAGGATAGAGATGAAGACACATTTATTTTCCCTGTCCCTTCCCTAACTCATAGAAAACAAGTGGCTGACTCTTCAATTCACATGTTGTCTATTCTAAAAAGAACAAATTGCACTCTGCTTATACAGTCATGTGATTATGCTTAATGCTTACTTGCTATTTTAAAAGAGAAGCAAAAAACAAAAGTGCACTTATGTGGCGTTACTACTAGTATTTCCGCATGGCTGAAGCACAGATGGCTCCTGGTAGGGTGGTATGGAAGGCGGGCTGGAACATAAAACATTTCCCATGCCCTGAAAAGTGGTTGAATTTTGTCTTGAAGATAATGAGAAACATTGAAAAATTTAAGGGTTGAAAGGTTTGGTAGAAAAGAAGTTGGAATTGTGAGACTGAGAGTAGAGTAAACACCATGCAGCAATTCAAGGGGAAAAAAACAATTGGAAAGGGCAGCACTCTTATGGAAGGCCAGATAACAGAGAAAAGAGTATATCTGAGAGAGATTAAAGAAATACAATGGGCATGTCTTGGTAACAGATTCGATTAGCAAAATGGAGACAAGTAGGATAACATTAATATATCTGCTGGTCTCAGAGAATGTCACACTAACACAGGCAGGGGATATAGTAGGGGATACAGTAGCCAAGTTTGGATGAAGAGAGGCCATTGTGATGCCAGAAACTTAGTAATATCCATTCATACTTGAAAGGGAACCTTATTCTCTGCTTACCATCAACAATAATGAAACATACTGTTAAAATGAAACAATAAAATATGTACAAATTATTCTCTGCTTACCATTAACAATAACGATGATATCACGGAAATCAATTTCTCCCCTTGCCTCCACTCGTCCTTCGCATCTGTATATACCTTCATCACTTTTATTGATGTTCAGAATCTGCAGATTATTGTTGGCTAACATGGCAAACCGATCTGGAAAGGAAGCAAAAGGGAGGGAATGAGATCAGTAACTGAAGGCAGAGTCCAGTGTGCTCTAAATTGCTAAGAGTTAAAATATGGCACTTGTCTGACATTATCAAGCATTTCATCAACAAACAACTCAAATTTGAAAGTAAAATGTAATTTCATGACTTCAGTTTTTCCACTCCACACTGCCTTGTTACACCTTTTTTTTCTAAAATGCATTCAAGATTTTACTTCCGCATAAAATGGTTAGGCTATTATTTTCCCCTTGGTATTTTGAATGCAGAAATAATAAGCGAGAGAACAATGAGGGGAGATTAGATATTGCAGACACGAAAACATTTTGGCTGCAAATACTGTATGTAGCAACTTGGGTATGGAAGAGGGTTAGGAACTTGATTGACTATCCTTCTTCACACAATAATTAAACTGATAATTTTGCATACCCTGAGGAGGCAGGCAAATTCTACAATAATATTCAAGTCACATATAGGACATATAAAATGATTATATCTCGGAGTTATTTGAAGGATTTTTCCCCCCTAAATACAAGAAAATACATTTTAGGAATGAATAGATTAGACTTCATTAATTTTATTTCAAGATTCCATTTTATGTGTGAGTGTGTGCCCATGCATACATACAAACATAAGCTGTTACACAGCATGCATTAACTGATTGCTTAAAATAATCTGGCTGGTCTAAGCAGGATCTCAGCCTGATAGTATTTTCCATAATATCTGACTTTAGTTTTTAGTCATTGCAATTTTGTTGCAGTGTTAAGACCTTTCCCTTCTTATCAAGGAAAGAATGTTCTAACATCTAGTCCTATTTTGAAACATGCTGTAAAAGCAATAACCTAAATTGCATTAGTTAATGCATCCATAGATATCACTGAACATCATGTCTTTGCTGGCAATATATTTGAGATACTCTGGTGAATAAAAGAGACGCACCCTCGGCATCCTTGGGACTTTCGGTAAAGTAGAAATGCCATTCATTTAAGGTGCCCACCTATGGGATATTTCCTGTTATCCTGCTAAAGGTCACCCTTTGGGCCTGTTCCAGTGGTGACTGCTTTTCCCCTATATGCTGACTTGATGAAGAAGTGTTAGGGCAAACACAGAAGCCATTGGAGAAAAAGGTGGAGCCTCTCTCAGCCTGGATCGCTGAATGGATGCATGGGGGAGAGCCCTTCCTCCACTCCTGCTGCCAACTGCACTTCACATGAGTGAGAAATAAACAAACAGCGATGGTATTATGCAGTTTTGGATTCAATTCAGGGTTCAGGTTCCTTTGCCATAACAATTCCTCAGTGCAAGAGGAGAAGTTTGGGATAGAAATACAAACAGAGAAATGATCAGACTATAGGAGGTCATTGAAACAGGTAAGCAGGAAATAATTAATAGAGAATGGAAATGTAGAGATTTAGAGGCCTTCTCAGAGAGAAAAATATTGAATATAAATCTATACACACAAGATTTTCAGGCTAAAAGATATAAAGTTAACCATAATGTTCATTTCTTCTTTAGACTGACCATAAGAAGAGTGATTTATGTTTATGCCGATGTTTGCCCATGGTAAATTTTCTCACCACAATAAATACTGGAGAGAAAGAAAGGGTATCTGCAAGAAAATTTAAAGTGCAACTCAGAATAATTTCTGGAGTAACTCAGAATTCTTAAAAATTCATAATGTTTCAAAGTCAGTGAAAGACCCTGAGTCAAGAGCGTGGCTGGAGATTAGAATGAGAGCAATTATAAATAAAAAAAGTTCAAATTTAGAGAGAGAGACACACCTAATCATACCTAGATCATTGTAATATTATATTTTCTAACTTACTAACATATATACCATCTTTAAAGTATATTGTTACTTAATAGTTTATTGAATTAAAAAGAATAGTACGAGGGGATCATTATGTTAATCAAGGCAGTGCTTGACACAACAGAGAATTGAATCTACATAATATCTACTTTTGATAGAATAAATCAGTGTTTCTTCTAACTACAAAATTTTATTTCAAATGACCATTTTAATACATCATTTCTACTATCTGAGAGAAAACATAGAACATTAGGAAAGCATTTACTACCTGCCAAATCTCAATACATACCATTCTATATGTTTAAGTATATACAACTTTTTTCATACAGTAAACAAACTACATGAAAATTGCATGTCAAATTCTAAATATGTATGCACATCCATGGAATGAAGTTAGCAAACTATCAGACCAAAGTATGTCACTAATGTGTTTAAAGAAAACATTTCAAGAAAGCACTGCTTCAAGCAATCATACACTATGGATATTAGATATTAGAACTATTTAACTATAAGAGATTATCTATTTCTCACAATTATACAGACACCCAAATTTTCATTATTGCTGTAAGAAAAATAAATGAGTTCAGATCATACCCTATAAGCTATCTGCTTTATTCTTTATTCAGGTTATTTCCTAAATCCTCTCTTTTTCTCATTCCACAGTCTTTGATGGTTTGTCTCATCTACTCATATGATCTCAATTACCACCGGTATTTTGAGACTCACAATTTTCCTTCAGACCAGACCATTATGTCAATGCCAGAACTGTTTAACAGTCCACCAGATGTACCTACTGAGTAGGGTTGTAAGTACTTCATGTTTAAAATTTAGCTCACTGTCTCCACCTGCAATTTCTCATACATTGCTTTGAAGGTCTGCCTTCAAATGTCTTTCCATTGAACTAGCTGCCCAAGGTAAATAAATCATGGAACTATTTGTACAAGTCAAATTCCTTGAGTCATCCTTGATTTCTCCATCTTGCTCAGTCTGCATATCCAATCAAATTCCAAATCTTATCACTTCTCCCTTTGTCACTGCTTAGTCTAAATCTCTCCCTCAGCAGTTATTTCATTTAGGATTTGAATTGTTCTCAGTACCTAGAGTTTGCCTTGACTCCCATCCAATTCATTCGCCTCACTGAAGCACTAATATCTTTCTCAAATTCATGTCAGGTCATGTCACCGTCTTGATTAAAATCCTTTAGTGATGTCTCCTTTGGATAAATTCCAAATTCCTTAGCTGCAGAGATGTGAAGGCCGTGCTGCTTGGCACAACCTTTCTTTCCAGCTTCCTTTCTTATTCACCCTTTATTAACAAATCATACTTTATATTTATTTATTACCGTAAGTGTTCGAGTTGTACTTATGCACAAGTTCCATTATAATGAACTTGTTCCGGTTTCTGGAAAGTGCCATGCATGCTGTCTTTCCCCTCTGGGCCACTACATATGGTGTTCTCTCTACCCATCTTTGCCTGGCTATGCCCTCTTCATATGTAAAGGTTCTCATTAGCAGGCCATTTGGACACCCTCCTTTGCCCTTACTGGTTTAGGTGTTCTTCCTTTATCATCCTCTATCCCTGTACTTTTCTTAGACCTCAACATACCTAGTTGTCATAATTTATCTATTTATCTGTTCCATCATATTATTAGTATTCTGAAGGCAGTGAACTTGTTTACCTTGTGAACCATGAATAACCACCATCCAGCATTCTAGATGCATATGCTAGGTGTTCAGTAACTGTGGAATGAATTTTATATTGGAAGTAGATCACATAAAAGTTCTATTGCACAATGTGATATTATCCATAGGTTCTAATGCTGAAAGTGTGCTTTATTAGGCAATGATCAAAGCATTTGAGAAGTTTCGGAGATAAGTTTCAAACAGGCTGAGGTTAAATGGGCCTCTGCAATAGCATATCCTTCTATTGGGGTGACATTAAAATTCAAGATATTCAAGTTGTGTAATAACCAAATGAAAACCTCCGCTTCAAATATTCTGCTGGGATTTTAATGCTGTGTCTCTGCCACACAGCTGCTACCAAAAAACATGGCTAATAAGGTGGACCTTTCCAAGCCTTCACTGTTTCATCTGGAGCCGCTAAACTTTAATCCCAGGACACACTAGGGCTTCAGAAAGGTACCTGGATATACCCCATTTTTCTAAATCCCTGTATACATTCCTGTCATAGTTATCAGCCCAAGCTTATTTCAGTTGCTTCAATAAAGAGACCATATAAAGTATAATCAAATGAAGAACAGCACTTCCTGCAAATCGATTATGAACTTTGTGGCAAGTTCCTCCAATATTTAAAGGTTAGAAAATTTGTCCTGTCTTACAATTCATCTTCATCCTTTATATCTCAGGGTAAGAAAAAAAAAAAGTACTTTTTTTTTTTTTTGCCTGCCATGCAACTCTGTGTTACATTTCATGATTAACTCTAGTCTAATCACTTCCCCTAAATTGGATTTTCTGATTCTAGATATAATCTGAATGTATATAATTTTGGTAAACTGATTTCCAAGGTTTAAACCTCACTGAGAAAAACAATGCCATTTATTGAGAAACTGATACATAGCCAAATATTTTATTCATTCATTTAAGATATTTATTATATGCCTAATGTCTTATTTAAAACGTACAACCATTTTTCTTTTTGTAAATTAGCTTTAGATGTACTACTATAATGATATCTATTTCCCCCCCACACACACACACACGGGATGTGCAGTACAGCATAGGGAATATAGTCACAATCATTTTTAACAGATGAAGAATCTGAATTAGGTACAGAGAAGTTAGAGGAATTGTTCAAAGCTTCAGGGCCAAGGAAAAAAGTAGACCCATGATTGAATTTCAGCTTCACATCATTCCATTCTGGGCTACTGGGAAAACATGTATAAACTGTATCACAGAGGAATCACTCCTTCATCACCACTGTACTTAACCAGCGAACTTTGCTTTGAGGCATTTGTTCTATGCATCTTTTAAAAAATATGATTTATTTCACATTGTTCTTATAATTAAGGTTTATAAACCAGATGTACATTTGAAGCCTAAATTTAGGCAATCTGAAAATGTTTAGACATTGTCACTTAATTGCCATAAATAACTGCCTTTTCTTTATTATTGAGAGGAAAAAAGTTGAAAATATATTGCACAATTTGTTCACATGATTTGTTAATAAAATCTAAAGCTGTTATCCTAAAATAGAGAGAAAATAAAGTGTAATTTCTCAGTAAATTATAATAGAAAAAGAGTTTTAGTCTATAACTGACAGGCATTGAAAATGCCAACTCCAAAAAATTCTCCCCAAAATAAAAAAAAATGACTATTAAATGATTTTGACATATTTTCTATATGTATTCAAAAATAGATACTCTGCTTTCTCTCCTTTATGCTGTAAAAGTTTCATCTCTTAGAAACATAAAACAGAATCATCCAAGATGGGAAGTATTTAAAAATATTCAATTATTTTGTACCTCTCTGCAATGCAGGTGCACTGAAAAATATTCTAAATTGAAAATGCTCCAATGCACAATGGTAAAGCAGCATAATGTAAGCAAATTAAGCTTTCAATATGAGATGTCATATTATTCCAGAATTTTAGCTTAATCTGAATCAAAATTATAAAGACAATTTGAATGAATGTATTTTTCTTTCTATTACCCACACACATCTTACCATAATATTTAGAACAGGTAGGCATCTTTGAATAAAACAGTGCCAGAATAATAAACAGGACTCATATAGATATTATTTTTAGTTTATGTACAGGGAGCCCATGGAATCATGTTGGAATTATAATATGGACAATTTGAATGCATCAGGATTGATTCCTTCATTTACTTAGTATCCTTGTACTGTTTGTATGTCATTTCTTCTTGGATAGAGCAGGGCCATCAGCCTTTTTCTGTAAATCTCCAGATGCTTAACCATTGTAGGCTAGGTGGGCCAAACCACCTGCATCCCAGCTGCTCAACCCTGCCCCAAAGCAGCCATACACAATACGTAACAGTCGGGCTTGTCTGCATTCTCATAAACACCTGACAAAAACAGCCCAGGCGCTAGATTTGGCTTGAGGTCCATAGTTTGCCAAACCCTAATTTAGAGCTTTACATTTCTCAAGTGGTTGCTTGATACTTCAGGTCAAAAATTCCAATTTCTATATTCAGTCATGTAGAGTCAGTTTTTAAAAAAAAATCGCTGTGTTATTAGAACATATAACTTAGGGAGTTACCAAAATACTAACTGTCGGAAATAGCGGTGACTTCCTCATTGTGATACAGCCAGCTGACGACAGGTGCAGGGGAGCTGCTAACACGACAAACCACTTCTGCATCCTCTCCTTGTTTGAATTCTTGAGGTGATACCACTTCTCTGAAAGTGAGCTTTTCTGTATCAATAAAGGAAAACATACCATAGAAGTATGATTACTTATTTGCCCGAACAACATAGCCCATAATCTGTGATGATTGACACTATTTATAAAATAATTAGTTAAATTAAGGTCCTTAAAATCTTCAACCAGACAATCTCATTCCTCTACCCTATACATCCCTACCTCTCAATCCCACAGTGGGTCCTATATGAACTGGAGGCTGCCCCACAGCTCGGACCCCAATTTCTCTTCTCCCTTCCTAGTCTCTGTGCTCCAGACAAACTGTCCTCTTCGCAATTCCTTCAACACGCCAGGTTAGTTCGCAGCCCCCAGCATTTGCACTCTGATATCTGCGGGATGTCAGCAGATAAAATAGCCATCTCCCTTCCCATTTCAACTCTCTGTCTCTGCTCCACTTAATATATTTACTATAGAATGCTACACCATGTATAGCTAGCATCCATGTAGTTTTTAAGCTTCTTTATTGTTTGCCTGTCTCTGCTCACTAAAATATAAGTACCAAGTGGCCTGAGCCATTTTCTGTTTTAGTCACTACTGAGTCTCTGGGATTTAAAATATTGTCAGCCATGTAGAAGACACCTAATGGAATAGACTCCAGTAAGTGTGTACAATGAATGCACGTGGATATTTATGCCCGATTAGAAATTTCCATGAGAGTAATCTATTGTTCTTGCCAAGGGAAAAACAAAACAAAACAGTATTTCTTTACTTTCACAAATAAAACATCAGAGATCTTTCTTGGCGTCATTTAAAGTAAATGCACAATCTTTCCAAACACTATGTCTATGAAATGGCTGCTTCAATTTTTTTTTTCTATTTATGAAATGGGTTCAGTAGGGGTCACATAAATAGGAAAAATTCCCTATCAGCCTTTTTCTTAGCTTAGAAACTAACAGAGGGAGAGAAAAAGCCAAATCAAGAAAAAAGGAGGGTAACAATGTGTCAACAAATCACCCTGGTCATCAAAGAGGAAGTCATGCGGTGGGAATGCTTTTTTTTTTTTTTTTGCATTTATGGAATAAAACAAGCAAGCACGCAAACAAACAAACAAACAAAAGCTATAAGGCAGAGATGTCTTATAAATATTTTCTAAACATTTTTATAATTTTCCACTGGTAGAAATGCTAACTATCACATTCGATCATAAGGCATTGTTCTAAGCACTTTATACAATATTAATTAATGTAGTACTCAAAATTATACCCATTTTATAGTTGAAGAAACTGAAAACAGGAAGGTTAGGAGATTGCTAAATCCACAAAAGGAAGTGATGGAGGCTGGTTTCAAACCCACAGTGTCAATAGTGTTTCTGAACAGGTTAATGATTCCTAAATGTAAGAAGGGGAAAGGAAGGTAGGAAGCACTCCTCCCCAAATCATAGCATGAAGTGTAAGTGTGGAGATGCTTGCTAATGAAATGCCTGACAGCAAAGAATCCAGCTGCATAGTATTCTCTACTAGATGAGCGTTCCGCTTTTTCTCTGTCTACTCCTGTTCACTGAGCCGTCCCCAGGTTTCGTTCTAGACTGGTTGCTGCTATCACATAAGCAATTTCATTTGCTCTAATCATGACCTTTTATTTTAGAGTGAAAACGTGCTCCATACTTTTCATACCACTAAATGAACCTTCTGTTTACCTAGCAGATTCTTCATGGCCTGAGGACATTAAAATATTTCCATCTATATTATAAAACCAACATAATTGGCTCCACCTATATGTTTACAGTCGACCAATACCTATTCTTTATTCTATTTTAGAGAGCCACTATGGTAAAATACAAATAAGCTGATCATAAATGGTAAACGTCTTGGAACACTGACTAGCACAGAGCTCTTAATGAATGTTAGTTTTAATTAAATGCATTTTGTTTTGTTTGCATTTTTACATGACCGCAATTTCAATCAACTAATAAATACATGACTTACGGTAAATTTCCAAAACGACTGTTGCTTCTTGTGTCTGTCCTTTGGCATCTGTTGCTTGACAACGATATATCCCTGCATCTTCTATATTTGCGTTGTAGATGGTTAATCGTGACCTAACACCTTCCTTTTGCACCACTACCCTCTGTGTTGAAATGATCTTCTCTCCTTGAGGGTTATACCAATCTATACTCTCAGGTTCACCAATTGCTACAAAGAGTTATGAAAAAAGAAATGTTTGAAAATATGTTTCAAGCGTTTGTTTTCACGTTGGCATGTACTTATTATGTAACAACTTTTAACAATTTAGAAAAAAATATCTAAATGAGAAAAGACTGGAAATCTGAAAATCTTACAAAACTGAAAGTAAACACAGGTGTTAGAACACATGTCCATTGTTATTTATCCAATGTTGAGGATTCATGCCCATTTGAGTAAGCAAATCCCAAAAGTTCCACAGGAAACATCTGGTACAATATTTAAGCTATGATGGTTGAAACTTTATCATACTAATCTATGGATTATTACTTCATTAAATTATGAAACTGCCTTGGTCATGGAGTCAGACATAAATTATACTTGATAGATACATCTGAAAAGAAACAAGATTACTAACATGATTTCTTTCACCTGTTCCATTCTCTTTGCTGGGTCAGGTGACCAAACTTTTTTCCCTGATAAAGCAGGGCTCATAAAAATGTAAATCTCATAAAAAATGAACTTTCGTTTTTGATAATACTAAATTTTGAAATAATATCCCAAGTTGTTACATTTGTACAGATCAAGCCACAGACTATTTTTATTATGAAGCCCTAATCTCTTTTCCCAACTGATATGCATACTTTCATCATTTTAATCTAAAACTGTTAACTATCTAATCATATGATAATTAGAATGCATTGAAATGATACTTATACTGCTAGGCAATTACAACCAAATCATTATAGGGTAAACATATATTTAAGTTTTCCAATTCAGAATCTAGGTTATTATCCTCTTTTTAAAAGCTGAAGCTTCCTGTGTTTGCTTTTAGTCACCAAAAGGATGTATTTCACCTAATTACTTGAAAGATAATTTGTGGAAGCAGCACACACTATTAAACTCAAAAGTATCAGGGGAAAATGCATAAAGTTAGCTAACATCTGCAGGACCTCTTTGAAGAAAATTGTTACTTCTTATTTTTTTCCCCAAGAAATGGATTTAGAAACAAATTAGTATCCTTTCTATATCAAATTAGACAGCTTGAACAAAAAGTATGAAAGAACGTTTAGTTAAATCTTAAATGTATCTCAATTATGTTATCTTCAGATTTTTTGAACAGACCATAATATCATACTATAGTGGGTACAAGATAACTCATTTAGGCAAGACGTTTTGTTAACTTCCCCATCCATACAGAAGTCACAAAACAATCATTTAAATGAACATCACTTTAACTTTAGACAACACAAAATCTCATTTTATAGTGTAAATGATATAGGATACTCTGAAATATTTCAGATGTTTTATTCTGAATAATATAGTATAAAAGTTGATTACCATGGAGAGTTAATTCAGGATTTTCAGAGAATGGTCATCATTCTCTTTTTTTTAATTTATTTTTTTGTGGCATCTCTAAATAAGCAATAATTTTCAATAAAACTTTTCATCTTATTGATTAGGCTGGAGTACTGACAAAGAAATACCACTGGACTTTTTATTTTCTTGAAAATGTAGTATAAAAAATCCTTTGCTACATATGACATATTGTCATTTAACTATCTGAGGGTCTGATTACCTCTGACTATCCTAAATTTAAGACATATTTATTTATTGAGTTTTAGGTATCTATGTTATAAGGTGTAAGCAAACTTTACAGTCATATCAACATAGCACTGCAGTGGAAAAAAATACATGTGAGTTTTCTGCATGGGTTTCCCACATCTTTATTTTTAGATTCTTGTTTTATATTATATTTAACATAAATAAGGACACTTCCATAATAACAGGACTGCTCCTGGTTATCTTTATATAAAAAGAATAAAATGTTTAATCATGTTGCCTTATTACTAAGAGCAAAACAGTACCACTAAATGATATTAATTCATATTTTAAGTTATGTCTTAATTTTACCTTATGTGATACATAAAGAGAAAACTGCATTATATAATTTATATTATCATGATATGCAGCCAAGAAAATAATACACTTTCATTTTCAAAATTCACTTCTAAATATTTCATTATTC